AAAAACATCAAATGGTCCAAAAGTGATCCCAAATAAACCACAAAGGGTGCAGGAAAAAAAACAAGGAATCGTTAAATGCAGTTGTTGTACAGCTCTGCACTCACAAGTGAAAGGAAAAACCAAAAAACCAAAGACAACACGAAGACAAAGTATAGAACAGTGAAAGAAAATTGTTCACTGACCTTTTTCAAACCAGATGGAGGTTCAAACGGAAATATCAGGTTGTAGTACACCATGACAGCCCATGCACTGGTCATGAAGATGTTGAATATCTGCAAGAAAACAGATGGCGACGAGTCCAAAAATTCAAAATTCATCGAGTTGAAAATGAAGCTTCTCTCGGAGGTTCGCAGGCGAATTCGCTTCGTCACATGAAATTCATGAACTATTCACACGCTTTCTTCCTAACGCTGAGCTTTGATCCTCACGGAGCAGTAATTTACTACAGAATAATATTTTCACTCAACAAAAGCACGATACAATCCCTACAACAAATTATTGAAACGATCAAAAAACGTCGTTTATCCATCTGGAGGTCACTCAATGGTCGTCTGACTTTCTCGGACGACCATTTCCAGGCATAAAAAAAGAATCATCGACGGATCTGTCACAGAACCAACGACAAGGTTCCTTGAACTAATAAGTCACTTTTTCTCCGTTTCAATCGCAAAATATACAAAAAACCTTGATAAAATCGATCGCAATACTCANAGCATACGGGGTTACTGGGGAGACATCATATCAAGCCCGTTTCCCGCTTGGGCACCAAAAGAACCCGAGTTTCCACAACTATTGTCAGTAGAAAATAACCGGAGAAAATATTCCGGTCAAGACGCGATTTTTTGGGATTTGTTTTCGAAGTTTCACATCATACGAAACGGAAAGAAGACAGAGCTCAATACAAACTTTGATTTCAAGACAAGAAGAGTTCCCGGTGCTGGGTCAGATCAAAATCCGAAGAACACTCCAGAAGACACGGAAATATTGTTCCTTCCAAACACATCTCTTGCGAATGGTATTCTGAAAGCTAACACCAAATTCAATGCAATTTTTCTGTCAGCTGCTATGGTTCATCAGTTGGGATCCGATTGTCTCACCAAAAGTCTCGTGGATGGTGGGAGTCTGGAAGTAGAACCTGTCGATGCAATCCTTGAAATGAATAGACCTCAATGCGAGCAGTACAATGCTCAAGTGGAACAGATGGGAAACGCACAAGGTTTGACAATTTGTCACAGAGGAAATCATGAATTTGTCCCTACGACATTCAGAAAAAACATTGCTGAGTACAATAAATAGAAAACAGTACTGCACTTTGTCTCCCAAAAGATGAGATTCTTTTTTTTTTACACGTTCTTGCAGAATTTGAGATGCATATCTCGTGATAAAGATGGACTCTAAAAAACAAAATATATTTAAGATTAATATTTTCCAGGCAACACATATGTTTCTTGTCCCGTCGTACCATCTATCAATGTACAGTAAAGTATGAATTTAATTATCCTGGCTACAGAGAGAACTAGAAATGTAATTTAAACATTCGCAGCTTCCACACCATTTCATAACACTTCAATTTTTGGTCCAAAGAGTGTTTTTCATGATGCCTGTGTGGGCAATATTTCAAGAAGTGCAGCTTAAATCCTCGAAAATTCAACTGGACATTCAAATCATAGTTTCAGTTAAACGCAGTAGAATAGAGGGCTATTACTTCATTCAGTATAGCGGAACAGGAATTTGAGAAAATAAATTTAAACGTACGGTATTTTTGAGAATTCTGTTCCTCCGCATTCACAAGATTAGCAGTCGTGTATTTAAAAAAATAGAATATTTTAAAAATTATCCTACTAACATACTAACATGTTCAAAAATTAGTACAAAAATAGAATAGAAACGTTATGTGTGGGACGACATATGTTTTTTTGAGGAGTCGCGAAGTTTTAAAAAGTCTTCCGTAAGAAACGATACTTCTATGCTTCTCTTAAGTTCGTAACTTCTCTTTACTTTTCTGTTTATAAACACCAACAAAAAAGCAACTGATATATCTTTCCGGGCGGAAAATAGCTTCAAAGTTCCATCGAGTGCATTTGGCAAGAAAAATATTGACGAGACTCCGATGCAAATAGCTATTGGATTTCCGACACCTTGGCGAATTCCATTCGCAAAATACCACGAAAATATTCACCTAAAATAGCGGCAAGCCTCCGACTATCGATGAAAGACATCTGATTACCGGGAAACAACCGCTCACGTCGTCATAGCTGTCAATGGATCACTCATCATCACCACTCATTTACCAATCAACATTTTGCGGCAAACATAACAATTTACGGAGTCAGCTTCCGCACGTGAGAACCAACGAAAAAAGAAAATCCCCAACGTAAAGGCACCGTTTCAATCATTCTTCTCTTCCCCGAAGCCCCCAAAGTCCTCCAATGTAAAATTCGACATCTTGTCTCCAAAGTCCTTGATACTGGTTGCAACTCGTTTGAGAGTAAACCCTGGGACTTTCTGTGAACGAATGAAAATGATTCGACGTCAAGAAGACAAGAAGTCAGACTTCAACTCACCAGTCCTGAATCAAGGTGAACCAGAAACGTTTTTGTAGTTTACCAGGTTTTCACTAGGGTTTATTTGGTGTTTCCCACGTCCTTTTTTTTTGTTCCTTAGCAATTTACGTCAACAACATGTCGAGACGTGAGTGTTCACTTTCCTTTTTGGTTTTTGCCAAAGACAACACGAAGACAAAGTATAGAACAGTGAAAGAAAATTGTTCACTGACCTTTTTCAAACCAGATGGAGGTTCAAACGGAAATATCAGGTTGTAGTACACCATAACAGCCCATGCACTGGTCATGAAGATGTTGAATATCTGCAAGAAAACAGATGGCGACGAGTCCAAAAATTCAAAATTCATCGAGTTGAAAATGAAGCTTCTCTCGGAGGTTCGTAGGCGAAGTCACTTCGTCACATGAAGTTCATGAACTATTCACACGCTTTCTTCCTAACGCTGAGCTTTGATCCTCACGGAGCAGTAATTTACTACAGAATAATATTTTCACTCAACAAAAGCACGATACAATCCCTACAAAAAATTATTGAAACGTTCAAAAAACGTCATTTATCCATCTGGAGGTCACTCGATGGTCGTCTGACTTTCTCGGACGACCATTTCCAGGCATAAAAAAGAATCATCGACGGATCTGTCACAGAACCAACGACAAGGTTCCTTGAACTAATAAGTCACTTTTTCTCCGTTTCAATCGCAAAATATACAAAAAACCTTGATAAAATCGATCGCAATACTCACAAATGATCCAAGATCTCCCGAAAGGAAACCGTGTAGTCCCCACGCAAAGGTCAATAACAGAAGCAATATGCTGTTCCTCAAATTCATGCCCATAGGGTAAGTGCATCGATGGCGCTTGACTTCATTCTGCAAACATTCCTCGATTAATTCTCAGAGATCCACAGGAGTCATCATTTCGTTCAAACTCACGATCGAAAGTAAAGGCATTCCAGTGCACACAGCGTTGAGTACCATCGCAAATGCGAGTATACCTCCAAAGGCCCATTCCGCAGACGGAGCAATATTCAAGGCAAAATATGTCAATCCCAGGTGCATTGCCAGCAAAGAGGCTGTATGCTTGACAACTATGGACTGAAATTGTATTCAGTCATAGAAACACGCGGAATCACGGAAACACGCGGAAATTTTAGTCAAGTCACCTTGTCCACTGCGTAGATGAAGTAAATGAGCATACACGTTCCGTTGATGAGAAAGCCGAAGGTCTGAAGAGTCACGAAGTAGCTTTGTGCCCAATAGCCAACATGTCCCCAAGCAATCGACCTAGAGAAAATCCACAGGTCCAAACACGAGGGAATCAATTACAGTAATACCAATAATATTGTATAATGAAATAAGGTTAATCCAGAAAACACAATCTGAACGATTATAAAGCCGCCAGGTGCAAAAAACTCTGGTACCTCACTGCAGTCTTCTATAAACGACCTAAACTATGGATAATTTTACATGCAAAAAACACATGTTCTGCAATCAATACAATGATACAAAAAGTTAATTCACATCATCCTCTGAAGATTTCCTCGTCCTCATCAGTCCATAGCCTCGGAAATAATTCCGATATTCTCAAAGATTCTTACATATTTCTCGGGAAGTTTCGCAAGTTGCATTTGTACTTGGGATACCTTCAAAACTCAACTTTTCGGGAGTCTACACAGTCAACACCGACATCGAAATCTGACTGTGGTCCATGATCGCCTGAATACGGTAAATAAATTAATTTTAAAGATAGCAAAAACCTGCAATGTGAAGAAAACATTCGTACTGCGCAATGCCGATCGTAAAGCCAATAATTTCCCCGGGATCCGCACGTTTCTTCTCCAAAATATTGAGCGCCGTCGGTCTGAAATGTAAAAGCAATGAATTGTCAGTTTCGAGTGAAAAATACGCATAATTCTCAAAATAAAACGGACATGCCACCTAAGCAAACGGATAAAACTTGACACATACTCACACGCCCATGAAAAAAGTAGCCACTGTAAGCACTACGGCAACATTTTCAACAACAGAAACAGCATCCATCGCAAAAACTTTGCGGAGTAACGAAACGGAACACTCTCGTCGGCACACCGACCGTGTGCCAAGCACAAAACAAAAATTCAAACTCGAAACAAAAGGGTCAACCTGCGAACACACAAGGAAAATTTAAATTTCCTCACGGCTCACAAGAACCTGCTCTGTCAATGTGAGATTCTGACAACTGGCCACACACTCAGTCGAATTTTCGTTTCTTGATGAAGCTCACATGACTCCGGTTCACAATGCCCAAGTCCTTGAGCTTATCGTGGTTGTTCTTCAGACGAACCTTGTCGAAACATATCCAGTTAACTCTCCAAACATGTTTCCAGCTCAAAGACGGCGGCCTTCCGTTCTTCCGAGTCTGAAAATATGTTAAAATTTCCATAAAATGTTCAAAAAAAGCAAGCTTCCACCTCAAGCCAACAAACACGGAAATAAAGTAACTCGAAGACCCAGAAAATCAGCAGTAATTTTCATTAAAATTACATGGACATAATCTAAACACTTTTAAATATTTTCTACCAGGGCAACCTATGATAAAAGAAGACAATTTACGATTCTTGAGCTAACACCTAGCCTAAACTTTACATCATCGATGAGAATTGATGCAAGCGGACATGAATGCAACATCACTGCGGGGCCGTTTGAAGGAAGTCAAAGAACTCGGACACCAAAATCGCTCACTGGTTATATTAAACTGTAGACGGAAATTCCCAATTTACTCGACGGAATGAATAAATTTATTTGTACATTGAACAAAATTACTGAAACGTTAAGGCGAACATTAGGCTCTTCGTCACGGGCTCTTACCTGTTCTAAATTAACAAATCGCTTGATCGCGCGTTTCAAATCAGCGACGTGAGCATTTTCTCGCACGATCACACGGAACGAAGTATTATCAGCTCGTTCGACAGTGATGCGCATCGCTTGACCTCGCTCCAGTGCGATGAGAGACTCCACTTCCTCGCTCGTCAATTGTTCTGCTGGAATGCCGATATTCCTTAGCAGTGGATCACGGGCCAGAATGTCCGAAATGCTCTTGAAAATGTTGGCCATGGCTTCTCGATGAGATAGCTCCGCTTCGTCGCACATTTCACTGGCACTGTATTCACTCATAAAACGGAACGCACATACTGTGATTCATGCAGAACGCTTCGTTCAAAGGCGGGATTTCTGTACAATAAAAATTAATAAAACGTTTAAACGCGATTCAACGAACGTCTCGTCAGAAAAATTCACATCATGCATAGAAAAATTTTGGAAACTTCAAGTTCTTATGAGAGCTTCAGGGATTATGGAATCGAAGCGTCCCCGAAGTAATTTCAGTGAACTCGCGGCAAGATCAACATACAGTAGTGTATTTTAAATCACCTCGCGAAGCATGATAAGCACTTTGAGCGGGATACAAAATTAAGATCTAATTCCCGAAACCTTTAAAACAATATATTTCCAACAAAGAGCGCCGAACTACTGAGAAAATGCCGATCATCCCACTCAGCTGAAGAAGCAGCGTCTATCCGCACGCTCGGATTCAACGGTAATATTCGCTCGGCCTTAGCACACATGGAAGCAAATGCAATCTTGAAATTAAAGGTCAATTCGTCATAATGTAATACAGTACAGTGCGACTAAAGAACCGGATCACCCGAACGAGCAAATTGAACTACGGTATACGCTGCAAAAGGTCGAACCCTCATTCCCAATTGCTCCCTCGCGTTCACATCTAAGGCCCTGGAGATTGTGAAACCCCGTTTTAGCCCTATTGTGAGCAGCACAGCGTGGGGGTGACCCAACGTTATGGTACACTTTCCAATTCACCGCCACTCACTTCCACCCGGCCCCCCTACAGGGCTATTCCATTCCACTACCATTCTCAATGCCATGAATGAGTGACTTCATGAACTGCACATGCTTGCAAATAGGAATTATGTTACAGAATGGTGTAGGAAGATAACATACTATGCTATTCATGAACTTGCAGCATTCTTAATGTTTTATTCTTGTTTATTTCTTAGTAATATTCAGTGGTAATACATTCAAAGGCATTCCATCACTACTGCCAATTTGTGCAAATAACTTTCAAACATGGCCAGAAAAGAATTACTTTTTTCTGAGAATTAATTTCTTGAATGTGACACCACTCCAAAGGCACAATGCTGTAGTAATAAATGTGAATGCATGACTGTTTTCTGATGAATCTGTATATTAGAGCAAGTTATTCATACATTTGAATGCAGAAAGTAATTATAAATTTAAACAAAAAGAGTGCAATAATACCCAATTTCATTCGAAACATCAGTAAAGTATAGCAGTAGTAATTTTTCAAACATACCAAAATACACACAATTTTTAACTGATTTGAACAGATGAAAAGTTTACATATGTTGACATACATAGACAGCTAGTATTTTGTCATGCGCATACTTATATGTATTCCTTGAGTTTCAATGACTACAGAATACGACATAAAGGGAATCCTTGGTCAGCCTTAGTAAACTATGATTTTCTTTTCCCCTCCATCACTGAGTATACAGTGTATGGCAACTTCATCGCAGGTGTGCTGTATAGCGGTGTGACATCGCAGGCCCGTTTATCGTCTTCCAATTCTTATCTCTTCTATCACAGCTTGAATTGGTCCGACTTATTTGACGTACAGTATATCCTCCAGTTGTTGAACTTTATCGGGCTCACGTACCTGAAATCAATCTGTCTTCGCGTACCCGCGGATATATATGCAGTACAGTATCCGCATGATACACAACGATCCCACGGATTTATTGCAAACGAGTGTTGTCATGGTTGAGCTAATACTTTTACAGAGCAGTACGTTAAAAGTTGGGATAGTTCGGCTCGTCATTGATTCCGATTATTGTACACGAAATACAGATCAATTTCTGAAACGGTTGAATTTCTATCAGGACACGCGCTCGGGAATCAGTCATCTTGCGTCCCAGCTATGTCGTAGTTCCCACTCAATATTGTACATCAACCATCAAGTGCGCGTGCCGTTTGGCCCAAAGCAATTCGTTGCTGTGGGTGAATTGAACGAACTACTTACATCCCGTGAGTCAGCGAAAAACACGCTCAACTGTCTTTTCACTTGGCTTCAGCATCAAGCGCGTGTTCTTTTCTTTCCTCCCTGTATTGCAGGTAACTCTTTCCTTGAATATATAGCCATACAGTATTAGTGCGATGTAAAGAGTTTTCTCACCCCCTGCAGTGTGAAAGAAAGCGTCACGACTCACGAGTACAGCCAGGAAAGGAGACGCTAAAATGATGATGAATTAAGAGGAGAACGAGCAATGGAAAAATTTCGAAGAAAGGGGAGAAACACAACAGACGTCCGCACATGCATGTACGGGATGCAAAGATCATCATTACCCAGTGCCATTGGAAATCCTTCACAGAAGTGCAGTATACAGACAATAATACTCGAGGAAGAACAATAAAACCGTGGAAATTCACACAGCAGTAATAATAATACGGTGAGCGACATAATTAAGATCATGGTTTGAAGTGAAACTGCTGATTATCATGTTTGAACCGTGTCTTTCGATTGAAGGAAATACTGCTGTATGCGGGAGCTGTGACGTCTCCTTTGATTTATCGACTTATGTACTCAAACAATAAGAATAAAATCGGCTTCATCGAGATTTTCCTTATTATTGGCTATAATTCATTGAAATCCATTCAATTTTAGTGCTCAATGCAGCTCATGAGCTTATTTTCCGCAGCGTAAATCTAAGCACTCCATTAAAGAAGTTTGAATTCCATTGGCATTGGAGATTGAATCGCGAATACAGTATTGCTTGAAATATAAGTCGAATAAATTTAGGACGCAATTATCGCAAGAACACGTACTACTGTAAAATTCCTCCCAAATAATATGCAGCAGTTCTATTTAATTTGGCACTGGAATGTAAATAATTGAGTTGCTTTCATCCGCACGCATGATAAATTCGCTGCGCGTGACAGAATTAACTTGCGCCAAAAGTGAGCATAACAACCAAATCATAAATTTTCACCTGTGAATCCCAGTCAAAGCGTCGCCGCATTCTCTATGCAGCATCCAATGAATCAATGCATGAATTGAAAGTTTTTCGAAAGTTCCTGTATTTCATTTCAAATCAAGCAACCGAAATTTCGGCTGTCAGTATACTGTTCTGTACAGAAAAATGCTTCCACTACTTTCATCCTTTCAATAACGCAGCGTTCAACATGCGAATCAAATAAGAAAGTAGAACTGTAAATGTAATTTGATCACGAGTTACAGTATTTATAAGTTCGAAACACAGAAGAGACGCAATCCCCATATAAAAACATGTTCACTTTGTGTTCCTTATTATTATTCTTATTCTTATCCGATAACCGCAAGAAATTCAATGACGGGCTTATTCTCATAAAGAGAGGAAGCGACATCTGAACACAGCCAATCGCGACCTTCGAGTGAAACATTCTCACCGCTCGTCAAGCGCCAGGTCTATCACATTCTCAAGCAGCACTGCAAAAGCCGCAAAATGAGCGCGAAAATCGGTTTAAAAAAATATTCGTAAAGTCGCATCAAATATTAATAGTTCTTGGGTTCCGAATTATTTTTTATTGAACAAATATAGTGGCACGCAGAAGATATTCCCTCGCTATTTTTAGATCCATCAGCAGTTGTTCCGCATGCTGGGTCCTAATGTGTATACTGGGTTTCCCTGATATGGCTGGCCTTGACGTGCTTCAATCCAGAAAACCTGCTTCCTGGACGTGAGTGAATAATTGCATAAAGGTCACTGTTGGTGGATGAGGACCTGACGGAGTTCATGGTTGAGCCTGCAGACGTGTAGCCATGATGATGGTTCTTCATGTTCAAAGAATACCTGCGAAAAAATAAATCAAATGGCTCCGTACGAACTTTGAAGACGGAAGTACGGAAATTGATGGTCCAGCAAAAAGAACCGCAAGAATATCAGCCAGCATAAATTTGAAGCAGTTGACTCAGTGTAAATTGGGCCGAAAAAATAACTTAATTTATCTCAGAAAATGATAACAGCTGCACAGACGAGTCAGGAAAACCCATCAGCAAGTACGTGGATTTTACAGCATTTGAGGATTAGTTCAGAGGCTTTGTCAGTAAAGAACCGCTACTATATAGCTACAGTATATACCGTACTGCATTATTTTTTCAAGTACAGTACATTTCCAAAAAGTTTCTGTGTCAAAATTTTCTAAATCCGATGTGGAAAGCAGTTTAGCAAGACTTATGAAAGCATGACAATATGCCTGGAGTATATAATTTTATTCTTCGTAAATAAATACAGTATTGTAAGACATATTAATTGCAGACCACATCTTATTCATTGCCCCAAGCCCACAATATTTGAAATTTCAATGGGGTCTTCAATTGCAGCATTGATCAAAAGTGGCAAAACCTATATAATAAGGAACATTTTTTTGAATTAAAAATGTTCTCAGATATTGGAAATTTTGTTGCTAGAGGAATTTTCAGCTTTATAAAATAATGTGGTTTTGCTTGGGCTGCCGGAAAATTTAAAGATAAACCGCAACTTTTGAATTTTTCCTCACATCCTTTGCCACAGAGTTTACTTCAAACTCTCTGCATGCTGTGTATTGCACATTTTAAATTTGGCAACAAATTTGGATAATGGTTATGAAGTGCAATGAACACAATTTTTCCTTGGTAAATAAAATGATAGCCATCTTCCCAGCAAAAAAAAAAAAAAACTCAAGAAGTTTTTGAAGCTAAGTATACCTGATAAAGCTCATAAATGAAACTCTCATACTCCCCAAAAAGGTAATTTTTAACTGAACACTTGAGGATTTATAAAATAGTTAGTGAATATTATACATCAGGGTTTCAGAATCATACCTGGAGCCATATTGGGATCCATTCCATGCAACTTTGTAAGGGTCCCTATAGGGATCATAGTCTTCCATGATGGAGGGTTCTTTCTCAGAGATGTCCGTCCTGGTGCATGAACAGGACATGGCGAAGCATAAAAAGACATTCACTACTATCATTACAACCAGCAATGTTGCCAAAACAATGCACAGAATCCGCAAGGAAAATCCACTCCTCACACTCTCAAAACCAGCCACTGAAAAAAAAGAAGGCACACATGATAATCTGGTTTTTGTCACTATTTTCTATTATTTCTTGAGAAAATTTCATAATGCAGGGTTTTTGCTTTCTTTGTTATTCCACATTAATCACAGCATATGTACTGTGGTGATTTAAAAAAATTGTTATTTGATGGAACAGCTTTCATCCAGATTGGTCATTTATGCATAACACAATCAACTGAGCATAAAATTGGCTAACTACTGTATAGGCATACACTGAGCTTGATCTAAAAGTTCTAAACTAACAGAAAAATAACTCAGCTTGATCTAAACTAACCAAAGCTAAACTGAGCTGTTGATCTACACTAGCTAAAACTGAACTAAGCTTATGATCTAAACTAACCAAAACTAAATTAGGCTTGATCTATAAGCGCACCAAAACTAAACTAAGCATAATCTAAATTAACCACAACTAAACTAAGCAAACACTTCTATAATGTCAACCACAGCTGATTTGAATTGAGCTAACTTGACCTACATTATGTCAGATACCTAAACTGAGATAACACAGCCAAAAAATGAAGCTAACTTGATGTACACTGATTAAAATTAAACTTAATTTCACTAAACTAACAAAGGGAGGTAATTTGACACACACACACAAAACAGCTAAGTAATCAAACTCATATGCTGTAGTACAGTTTGTTCAACAGAATTAACCAACACAATTCAAACTAAATCCAGCCTATAAAATATAGACTAAATTCAGTTGAATGTACATATGCTGCTAGTACAATAGCTATATACACTGACTTCAGAAGCAAGCTAAAATATCATAAATTGACCTGATTTCATGTAACTCAATCTATACAGCAGCATGCTAAAATGGAGACTAAATTAAACCGAGCAATCATGCATGTTATGGTCCAGGACGACAAATGCTGGGATGATTAAAATTGGAAAGGACCATCATCAAAGAGACTTTACCAGCGAATCTTTCTCCAGGCTGGTGCACGAAAACAGTCGTGGACGCCATCAAGACATTCTCCGACCCGTAGTCATCAGCGTCGAAATCGTTTGTCCACGGCGGATACTGCGGCGCCACTGGCACGCCACCGCCGCCCGGACAAATCGGCGCGAAACACCGGCCACGACACAACAAGATGTCGCACTGAAAGTGCACTTCCGCACTGGACGGAAACCGGAACATCTCGAGAATTTCAGCCCTTCCGGTCCCCGTGGTGTAATTGTAAGTAAACTCGGAAATGATGTCCGGTCGCTCGGAACATCCGTCTTCCCGCGTCAAACGCACGGACTCATTGGTGGAGCTGAAGCTGAAGCAGTTCTTCACCAGGATTGAATGAAATCCTGTAAATATGTACCCACGATTAATCCCGTTATAACGAACTTTTTCTGGAATAAACGCGGGAAACAAATTCGTTTTTAATGCCGAAATATTCTTTAAATCAAGATTCAACCCAGAAAAAATTGATTTTAGCGGTATAATGGTTCTTATACAAAACCATGGACTTGGATTTTGAAAAATAATGTATTGATGACAGAGAGAGTTTGCAGTAAAAACCAGCGCCTCTATTCAGAAGCTTTCTAAAATATACACTGAGACCATGACCTGCGGACAATTCAACATAGGGACACTTATTTTCTCGTAAAAAATTAATTTAAAAGGCCCAATAACAGAAGGACACTGAGACTTTTGTGATAAAATTGAAAATAAGGTTAAGACCAAATTACAACAAGCAGATATTTCAACCCTAAAATTGATGAAAGAAAAGTTCTTGGGCATTTCTCAGACCAATTTACCATCCATTTAGCTGATTAAAAAAAAAGTACCTCCAGCATAGATGAACTTCCTTCTCTCTTTTCAACTTGAATGTTATTTTTTTTTTTTACAGAGAATGCCAACATTTCTACATACTGCATGTACAGAGGTATCAGTATTCAATTCCCCAAATGTCTATATCGTGTTGAAATATATTGATTGAATCAGTTTAAATTGGGAGACAATCTTTATTTTCATGGAATTACGGTGATTATTTAGTCCATAAAACACCAATTAAAAATTATATAATATAAGTCTAAGGGAAAATGAGACTAAGTTAGGGACATTTAGACTTAGGAAAATTCTTAATGCACCAATTATGTCTGCATCTCATGGTTTCACTGTAGTTTATAAAAGAATATGATGGTTGCACGAGGATGTATAGCATCTTCCAAAAAATAAGCATGAAGTTTTGGATACTGGAAAATTCATAACACTTGCAAGTGTGACAAGTAAACCCACTTTCATCATACCATGGGGGAGTTAAATTTCTTCTCACCTCCCTTTTGAATTCGAAATAAAAATCAGAATGGTCGTAGGAAATAGATTCAAAGAATGGTGTAAAAATCATGTCCATCTCATGTTACATCAATTCATTTCATTAAAAAGAAAAATCAATTCATTACCCAACCCTCCCATCAATTCTTCGCAAGCGTTCTGATAAATAGGCTTACCATAAAATAACGAGAACTGCTGCAGCTGCAAGTCAAATACAGTACCATTATATCAAGTTGTTACACTGATACGTTTATTCAAATTAATTTTGATTTATATTACAAAGCCTTTGCGAGTTTAAAAAAAAAATCCGAGGAACTCCAGACGAGATCAATGAAGAATCGTCCGAAACGGGACCATCAGACATTCTCCTGAACAGCTTGCACACATTAATCAGTCAGGGATTGAAAGCAGTTCAAGCAGGAAGACCTCGTTAAATTTGGCAAATGCCAAAAGAAGTAATAAATCGGAAGAAACGCGTACCGTCGGGTTTGGAGAGATCGGCTTGCAGCACGTAAGGTTGGCCGTAAATTGTGTGACGAACTCTGGTTCCGTCCGATATCAGCTTCAACGTTACCAACGACGTCTCGTTTCTATAGTTTTCCAATAATAGAGAAAAATAAATAAATGAAGCAGAAATGAATCCCTGCAAAAACCTATTTCGAAAAAATATTGCATAAAATGTGCGCAGAATTCACAATGAAAACATCAGAGGAGTAACTCAAGCCATATATTGACAAAAAACTCGAGGGATTTCATATCAAAGCTTGAAGCAATTTTCCCGCATTGACAAATAAATTACAGCACATACTAATAAATTCTGAAGATACCTGAAAATGAACCCGATTTCCTTGAAGAATCATTAATTTCATGTGCGATTCTTGTTTTGATTCTTACAGAAGCTTTCAAAAGGATTAATGCAGGAGTTGAAAATGCGTTGGCTGCATAATTTGGCCTTTTATATATTCGGCGCGACTTTTATTTATAGGTAAATTTATCATTCGGCAAAGTGACTTTGAATTTTTGGGTTTATTCGAATTAAAATAGTGCATAAATAATAGAATACAAATAAATATATGAATAAATAAATAAATAAATATACGGTACATACATAAATTCATAGAATTTCAAATCAGTTTATTCTGTTTTTCACGGAAAAGGAAACATCATAATAATAATAATTTTATCGAATAATTTTTGTTAAAAATTGATATCTGTTGAAGGCATTGCAGATTTTTACTCTAATAATAAAACGGTACTAAAAATTTTCATCATTTCGAAGAACTCCCGTCATTATTGAGGCCTTCCTTCACTGATTTTTTTTACACAAACAGAATCAACTTCAAAATTTGAGAAATTCGTGAATGCAAAAATTGGAAATGGAAAGCCGAATGCGTCTTCTTTCCAGCACATTAAATGTAATTAAGACGGACATTGCACCAAATGATCACGTAATCTTAGTCGTTAATGATGGAGAAATAATCGGGTATAAGTTAACCCAAGGTCATGTCATGCAAATGAATACTCTTGATGAACATGCCTGAAGTTTTTGTAGCCCGATCGACCACAGGTAATTACGTAATACTTGTCGTCTGCCAACTCCAGGGTTTTGTGGGTTCTGACCGCAATTGGGACCGATCTTTCTTCAGTCACCTGTAAGCAGAAAAAAAATTTTGAAAGATAAGACACCAATTTCTTTTTTTGTGTTTGAAACAAGTAATTTCACGTGACATGGATTGTAAAAAAAAAATCTCAAAAGCACCCGAAGATTCGTCTGAAAAAAAAAAGAATTCAGCCAGGAAAACTGTGGGTTTTTTTCCTCGACAGTTGACACGTTCCGAAAATTCATTTCTATATAATGCAAAAGAGAAAGCCTCCTGAAACGATCTTTAATTCGAATAACTTTCTGCAAGAACGCAGGGCAACCCGCAAATAAAATAAATAATACAGCGTTGATTTGTTTAATAATTTTTTCAATGAATCAAAAAATTAGGAATGAATATATTCGCATGCTGCTCAGCACGGTTGCCGCAAACTCGGATCCGGGACAATCAGGCGTTTTATTGCAGCTCTTAGATGGTCCTTGTTTCACGCCGGCATAAGGATAATTAAAATTTGAGGGAAACATTAAAGTTCGAAAGTCGAGAAAGAGTGCGACCCACATTGTTGAAATTGATGCCGCAGTAATTAGGCCTCCCGGGCTCGGNGCCTTTGCGAGTTTAAAAAAAAAATCCGAGGAACTCCAGACGAGATCAATGAAGAATCGTCCGAAACGGGACCATCAGACATTCTCCTGAACAGCTTGCACACATTAATCAGTCAGGGATTGAAAGCAGTTCAAGCAGGAAGACCTCGTTAAATTTGGCAAATGCCAAAAGAAGTAATAAATCGGAAGAAACGCGTACCGTCGGGTTTGGAGAGATCGGCTTGCAGCACGTAAGGTTGGCCGTAAATTGCGTGACGAACTCTGGTTCCGTCCGATATCAGCTTCAACGTTACCAACGACGTCTCGTTTCTATAGTTTTCCAATAATAGAGAAAAATAAATAAATGAAGCAGAAATGAATCCCAGCAAAAACTTATTTCGAAAAAATATTGCATAAAATGTGCGCAGAATTCACAATGAAAACATCAGTTGAGTAACTCAAGTCATATATTGACGAAAAACTCGAGGGATTTCATATCAAAGCTTGAAGCAATTTTCCCGTATTGAAAAGTAAATTACAGCACATACTAAGACATTCTGAAGATACCTAAAATGAACCCGATTTCATTCAAGAATCATTAATTTCACGGGCGATTCTTGTTTTAATTCTTAAAAGGCAACAACAGAAGCTTTTAAAAAGATTTATGCAGGAGCTGAAAATCTATTGGCTTCATAATTTGGCCTATTATATATTCGGCACGACTTTTATTTGGAGATAAATTTATCCTTCGGCAAAGTGACTTTGAAATTTTGGGTTTATTCGAATTAAAATATTGTATAGTGTCATAGAATTTCAAATCAGTTTACTATCATTGGAATAATTTTTAAAATAAAATTCATATCTCTTGAAGATGCTATTGCAGATTTTTACTCTAATAATAAAATGGCACTCACAATATTCATCATTTCGAAGAACTTCCTCCTCATTGAGGCCTTTACTGCAAATTTTGATTTTTTTTTAATCGAACAGAATCAACTTCAAAATTTGAGAAATTCGTGAATGCAAAAATTAGAAATGGAAAGCCGAATGCGTCTTCTTTCCAGCACATTAAATGTAATTAAGACGGACATTGCACCAAATGATGACGTAATCTTAGTCGTTAATGATGAAGCAATAATCGGGTATAACCCAAGGTGTCAGTACGTTTACTTATGAGAACTACTTGTACGGACTTCAAAAACATCGGGCTAGCTGGTGTCCATTAATGCATTATGAACAGCAGACGGTTGAGGTCCCAAAACACCCAAGACTGGCGTTAACCCTGGGATCTTTCTTCAGTCACCTGTAAGCAGAAAAAAAATTTTGAAAGATAAGACACCAATTTCTTTTTTTGTGTTTGAAACAAGTAATTTCACGTGACATGGATTGTAAAAAAAAAATCTCAAAAGCACCCGAAGATTCGTCTGAAAAAAAAAAGAATTCAGCCAGGAAAACTGTGGGTTTTTTTCCTCGACAGTTGACACGTTCCGAAAATTCATTTCTATATAATGCAAAAGAGAAAGCCTCCTGAAACGATCTTTAATTCGAATAACTTTCTGCAAGAACGCAGGGCAACCCGCAAATAAAATAAATAATACAGCGTTGATTTGTTTAATAATTTTTTCAATGAATCAAAAAATTAGGAATGAATATATTCGCATGCTGCTCAGCACGGTTGCCGCAAACTCGGATCCGGGACAATCAGGCGTTTTATTGCAGCTCTTAGATGGTCCTTGTTTCACGCCGGCATAAGGATAATTAAAATTTGAGGGAAACATTAAAGTTCGAAAGTCGAGAAAGAGTGCGACCCACATTGTTGAAATTGATGCCGCAGTAATTAGGCCTCCCGGGCTCGGCCAGCAGGTCGATGATAATGGACGTGTTCCTGGTCCCAACGCCATTAACGGAGCATTCCGGCCTCCTGTAATACTTGGCGTGAACAACCCCTTCAAAAATGAAGAACAAAATAAATAAACCAGATTGAGCAAAAATATGCACCAGAATTTTGCACATTATACTGTTATCCCTGATCCTTTCAACTCTTTGCAAGATTTGTGTATATCCTTTATTGTGGTGGAGAGAACTGGGAATAATAAACACAAGACTTATTTCTAACAGAAATAGTCTTATTCACACAACCACAATTTCCACAAGACAGAGACAGAGACACAAACACAACCTTGGAGATTTCCTACACAAGATGTCTCAATTCAATGATCAGCACACTATAATGCCTGATTTTAGGCAGAAGCTATACTGGGGTTTATATACTCCAAAATCTTGTGATATAATATATATCAATAATATTGATGTACCAGGAAGAGGTATATACTTAATTTACGGACAGATTCATGTTGGAAGGTGTTTCATGTTTCGACGGATGAAGTTGTTTCCAGTACAGTCCTATATTATGTATATTTATATAATAATTATAAGATCTAAGAACTCCTAGATTAAGAACCTTCTTATGGTATAAATGAACTCATAGTTGTGCACCTTTTTCTCAAATTTCAGAAGAAAAAAGGGGTGCGCATCATAAGCAGGTACAAATTTTTCAAGAAGTTTTAGGAAGCTATGTGTACATTATACTTAATTATAATGGAGAAATTTCAAACAAATGTAACAAGAAAAACTTTGTTGTGCTGAAAAAGTTGAAAATTGATCCAATTTTTGTTCAATTCATGTCTAAAGTCAAATTTTTTTAATTTATTTTCCAAATTTTGTGGTTTTAGTTTCACAAAAATTGGGGTGCGCGTCTTACTTGGACATAAGATTTTAGCCAAATTTCCAACTGAAAAACACCTGTGCATGCCTTACTTGAGGGTGCGTGGTACTTGAGTAAATACAGTAATTATCATTATTCTTTCTTTTACACTTTTCCCCTTTCCTCATTCTCTCACTTGAGTCATACTATCATACAAATTTTTGTACGTAATTATTTCATCAAGATAATTTCCCAATGATAACAATACACAGATGGACTCTCTCTCTCTCTCTCTCTCTCTCTCTCTCTCTCTCTCTCTCTCTCTCTC